AAAAAAAAAAAAAAAAAAAGTTTAAAATGGCATTTACAATGTGTTTTTTTCCCTTCTAATACATCTTAAATGTAGAACATTAAAAATACTGTACAAAAGAATAACTACTGGTAAATTGTATCTCCCAGGGATAACCACAGGTAGGCTTTTCTTGTTTTTTTTTTTTCTTTTTCTTTTTATTGAGACAGGTTCTTACTATTTGTCCAGGCTGGAGTGCAGTAGTGTGACCAGGCTTATTGCAGCCTTGACCTCCAAGACTCAAGCAGATCCTCCCAACTCAGCCTTGATGTAGCTAGGACCAAAGGCATGTGCCACCATGCCCAGCCAATTTATTTTTTGTTGGAGAAGGAGGGTCATGGGGATCAGGCAAGGGAGAATCTCTCTATGTTGCCCAGGCTGGTCTTGAACTCCTGGGCTCAAGTAGTCCTCCTGCCTTGGCCTACCAAAGTACTAGTATTACAGGCATGAGCCCCACTGTATGTGGTCCACAGGTAGGATTTTTAAAGATCCATGTAGGCCTTCTTTCTGTCCCAGTGATACTCAGGTATCTTTTTGAAAATCAAAAATGCCGATAAAATTATATAGATTATATATAAAAGTCTGTCATTTCCAAGGGGAATAGATTACTCTTACACTACTTTTGTTTAAAAAATATATATGCATGTAACCACATTCAGATTAAAAATGATTGACAACCTTTTACTCCCTTTCCGACAATTATTTCCATTAAAAAATTATTTTACTCCCTATTATATATGTCTCTAAACATTAGGATTAACTTTTATATAGTTTTAAATTTTATAGGAATAGAATTATACTGTATATATTCTTTTGTGACAATTGATCTGTGACAAATTGACATTGTAGAGCAACAGGGAAGAGATTTTTTTCAATTAATGGTGCTGGGTTATGTGGGTATCCATATGGGAAAAATAATAATTTGCTTTACACAATAAATAAAAACTAATTTTAAGTGGATTTACAGATATGAAAAGATTAAATAAAAAAGCTGGTATAACAGTGGTGTTTAATAGAAATACAATGTGAGCTACATGTGATTTTAAATTCTAGAAGCCAAATTTAAATAGGAAAAAGAAATAGATAAATGAATAATATATTGTATTCAACCCAGTAATGCTCAAAGACATTTTAATGTGCAAGTAATTTAAAAATTATTAGTCTATTTTATTTTGGGGGGCAGGGATAGTATAGTTTTAGCAATTCATTGTGCATTTTACACTTATGTCTTGTTTTGGCCTAGTTACGTTTCAAGTGCTCCATAGCACGTGGCTAGTAGGTTCTGTGTTGGAGAGCGTAGTTTTAGAGGATAATGATGGATAACATCTTCTTAACTCTGGACACAAAAAGCAACCGTAAAGGAAAAATTGGTGAATTGTGCTACATTAAAGTTAGGACATCGTATTCCTCAAAAGACATTATTAGGCTGGGTGGGCATGGTGGCTTTTGTAATTCTAGCACTTTGGGAGGCCATGGCAGGAGGATTACTTGAGCCCAGGAGTTTGAGACCAGCCTGGGGAACATAGTGGGACCCTGTCTCTACAAAAAATTTAAAAGAATAAGTTAACTGGGCATGGTGGTACACCTCACTTATAGTCCCAGTTACTCAGGAGGCTGAGACGGGGATTGCTCGAATCCAGGAGGTTGATGCTGCAATGATGCATGATCACACCTGTACTCTGGCTTGGGTCAAAAAAAAAAAAAAAATCATTAGGACTGTGAAAGGCAAATTACAGAGTGGGAGAACATATTGGTAAATCATCGTTCTAACAGTTTGCATAAAAGATACGTAAAATGTCAAGAGAAAGATAGTTAACTCATTTCCAGGATGGAAAAGAGAATTCAACTGCTATTTCATGAGAGTTGTACTAAAATCTGTCACTATGTGGATTTTTTTTTAAATTGAGATGGAGTTAGATGATTTCATTATTGTACAAACATCATAGAATGTACTCAGCAAATCTAGATGGTAGCCTGCTGCATGCCTGGGCTATATATGGTGTAGCCTGTTGCTCCTAGACTGTAAAATTGTACTTCATGTTACTGTACTGAATATTGTAGGCAGTTGTAACACATGGTATGTTTGTATCTAAACATAGTAAAGGTACAATAAGAATATGATATAAAAGATTTAAAATGATATACCTGTGTAGGGCACTTAAATGCATTAATGGAATGGAGCTTGCAGGACTGGAAGCTGCTCTGGGTGAGACAGTGAGTGAGTGGTGAGTGAATGTGAAGGCCTAGATTATCACTGTACACTACTGTAGATTTTATAAACACAGTACACTTAGGCTACACCAAGTTTATTAAAAATATTTTTTTCAATAATAAACTAGCTTACAACTTTATAAACTTTAAATGTTTTAAAACTTTTTTCTCTTTTGTAATAACACTTAGCTTACAACAGAAACACATTGTACAACTGTACAATTTTTTTTTTTTATTAATACGGGGTCTCTCTTACTATTTCAGCTCACTGCAGCCTCCCCTTCCCAGGCTCCAGTGATCCTCCCACCTGAGCCTCCCAAGTATCTGGGACTACAGGCATGTGCCACCATGCCCAGCTAATTTTTTCTATTTTTTTTTTTGTAGACAAAGAGTTTCACCATGTTGCCCAGGCTGGTCTCAAACTTTTGGACTCAAGTAATCCACCTCTCTTGGCCTCCGAGAGTGTCAGGATTATAGGAGTGAGGCACCGCACCTAGCCAGTATTTTCTTTATATTCATATTCTATGGGCTTTTCTGTATTTAAAAAATTTTAATTTATTGTTTTTAAACTTTCGTTAAAAATGAATACACAAATACACACATTAGGCTTGATTCACACAAGTTTAGGATCATCAATGTCAGTATCTTCTACTTTTGTATCTTGTCTCACTGGGAAGTCTTTAGGGGCAATAACACATGGAGCTGTCATCTCCTAGGTTAACAGTGCTTTCTGGAATACCTCCTGAAGGACCTGCCTAAGACATTTTGCAGTTGTTGTTTTTAAATAAGTAGAAGGTGTACACTCTACAATGGTGATTAAAAGTATAGTAAATAAACCAGTGACAGAGTTGTTTATTATTAAGTATTATGTACTGTACATAATTATGTGTTACACTTTAATACGACTGGTACACAGTAGGTCTGTTTTCCTCAGCTTCACTAAAACACGAGTAGGGGCCGGGCGTGGTGGCTCACGCCCGTAATCCCAGCACTTTGGGAGGCTGAGGCGGGCAGATCACCTGAGGTCAGGAGTTCAAGACCAGCCTGGCCAACATGGTGAAACCCTGTCTTTACTAAAAGTACTAAAATTAGTCGAACGTGGTTGTGCATGCCTATAGTCCCAGCGACTTGAGAGGATGAGTCAGGAGAATTGCTTGAACCCAGGAGGACGAGGTTGCAGTAAGCCGAGACTGCACCGTTGCCCTCCAGCCTGGGCAGCAGAGAGAGACTTTGTCTCAAAACCAAACAAAAAAGTGAATTATGTGTTGTGTTCTTCCCTCCAAGTCGCTTTTTTATTCCTTTTTCCCCCCTGTGTTGGTCTCCATCTTTTGTGTTACAGGATTTTCTCACGTCTGGTATTAATTTCCTTGTGGTGAATCAGAAATTCTTTGGAAGCTTTAGTAAGTGGGTTCAGCCTTTTGACTTTGGCTTTTGCATCAGAATATTCTGGGTGGCACATTTTTTGGGAAATCCCCAATGTTGGTATCTTTAGATCTTTCTTCTTAGGCTTATTGGATTCCTGTAAGGTAAATACCTGGGTACCTGAAGTTTGGAAGCAGAGTGCATAGGGGATGGTGGAGGAGCTGAAATGTGTATTCGGTGACTAGATCAACCTCTGTTTTGTAGTTGAGCAGGGTGACTTTTGTCTAAGGATACTCTCATTTTTCCAGAGAATGAGCCCCCAGTCTTCTGTTGTGGTTGAGGAGTCCTGTGAAGGCACGGTGCTGAGGCTTTAGCTGCATCGTAGATAGTCTTCACCCAGCCTCCATCATCCTTTATGCCTCCACCTTCTTTACCCCCTGTTCTGTCTGCATTTAGTACTGACAGTTCTGAACCTTCTCCCAACATGGCTGTGGAAATGGAATTGTTTCTTAGTGTTTTTGGCTGCTGGCTTGGTCTGGCTGCATTGGGCCTGCCGAGTCATTTGCTATGCCTCCAATCTTTTATAGTTCGTTTCCTCCTCGTTTTTCTGTTTTCTTTGTTTGGTTTCTATCTTCAGTGTTAGAGGCTTTTCTTACAGCTTCAAAAATTCTATTACTTTTCCTTTCATTTCTTTCTGTCCTGTGGGTTTGGTTTTTAAATTTGTCTTTTTAATATGTCTGTATTAGTTTATTCTCCCAATGCTAATAAAGACATACCCAGGACTGGGCAATTTATAAAGGAAAGAGGTTTAATTGACTTTACAGTTCCACATGGCTGGGGAGGCCTCACAATCATGGCAGAAAGCAAAGGGAAAGCAAGACACGTCTTACATGGCAACAGGCAAGAGAGAGTGCCTGCAGGGACCTCCCCTTTGTAGAACCCTCAGATCTTGTGAGACTTATTCACACTCATGAGAACAGCACAGGAAAGACCTGCCTCCATGATTCAGTTACGTCCCACCAGGTCCCTCCCACAACACATGGGAATTATGGGAGCTACAATTCAAGATTTCAGTGGGGAACACAGCCAAACCATGTCTATCTCTTTTGTTTAATTTTAGTGGGAGGGAAAAAGATGTGTATATTCTGTTTGCCATCTTCCTCTGAATTTGTTAGCTAACTTTATGTCAGATTAATTATGCTTGTTGATGTTTTAATAGTTCTTATTTATATTTCTTTCTACTGAAATATGGGTTTGAAGACAAGGCTTTGCCAAAGTTGTTATTCTTAGGTCCAGTACAGTATGTATGGTAAGCAGTGAAGAAGCTGACTGTAAGGTATACAGTACAATAAAGCCTTGAAAAAAACCAGTGAAATAATGGTGGTTGTATATATATTCTTGTCTTTCAGGTTCTCCTTGACTGCAATGGAAAGAGGAAAGATAAACTAGAATTTTTTTTTTTAATTGTCATTTGATTTCTTCAGTTATTCTGGCCTTCTGAACTGTGAGTATAGTTCTATTGCTACACTGGTATCTTGAGATTTTTGGTTTTTTCTTTCACCTGTCTTAGTGTGTCTTTGACATACAATAGAAATAAACAAAAAGGTAGTTGATTTTGTAGGGTAGGTGACGGAAGAAATAGAAATTGTTTTTTGTTCCTACTATGTGTAAATACTTTATATATTTTTCTCTGAGACAGGTAGACAGTATAATAATGGTTGATAATAACTTAGAATAGTGTCTGGTACATTATAAACACTCTGAATTACAATTACTAATTGAATCCTCACAATAACTTTATAAGTAAGGTTTACTATTTTTCCCTATTTCACATTCGCATACACCAAAATACATTGACGTTAAAGGCTACTAAGGTAGGGCCGGATACAGTGGCTCATGCTTGTAATCCCAGCACTGTGGGAGGCTGAGGCAGGAGGATCACTTGTGCTCAAGAGTTTGAGACCAAGTGGCTGGGCATGGTGACTCATGCCTGTAATCACAGCACTTTGCAGGGCTGAGGCAGGTGGATCACTTGAGGTCAGGAGTTTGAGACCAGCCTGGCCAAAATGGTGAAACCCCATCTCCACTAAAAATACAAAAATCAGCTAGACGGTGTTACACCTAGCTATTGTAATCCCAGCAACTTGGGAGGCTGAGGCAGGAGAATTGCCTGAACCCACGGGGAGGTGGAGGTTACAGTGAGGCCGAGATTGTGCCACTGCACTCCAGCCTGGGCGACAGAGCAAGACTCTGGCTAAAAATAATAATAATAAAAAATGTTGAGGCCAGCCTGGTGACATAGCAAGACCTTGTCTCTCTGAAACAGAAAGCCAAAAACAAAAATTGCCAGGTATGATGATGCATGCCTGGATCAGAGGAATTTGAAGCTGTAGCGAGCCAGGATCATGCCACTATACTCCAGCCTGAGTGACAGAGCAAGACCCTGTCTAAAAAAAAAAAAAAAAAAGATTACTAAGTTAGTAAATTGCAAAGCTGGGACTCAGACTTAGTCTGACTTCACAGTGTGTGCCCTTGACTGGTTCAGTAGCCCCCTCACCCCAGTCTGTGGTTTTGCTTTTTGTAGTTTCAGTTACCCAATGTTAGCTGCAGTCTGAAAATATTAAATAGAAGGTTCCAGAAATAAACAATTTATAAGTTTTAAATTGTGCACCATTCTGAGTAGCCTGATGAAATCTTGTGCATCCTGATGTGTCCCACCCTGTCCTGTCTTACCTGCGATGTGAATTGTTCCTTTGTCCAGCATATCCACCACACTGTGTATGCTGTCCACCTGTTAGTCACTTAGTAGCCATTACAGCAGGTCAGCTGTCAAGGGATGACAGTACTTGTGTTCAGGTAATGCTTAGTTGATTTCATCATGGCTCCCAGACAGAGGGGTAGTTGTGATGCTGGCATATTGTTAAAATTGTTCTGTTTTACTATGTTATTCTTGTTAATCTCTTACAGTGCCTAATTTATAAATTAACCTTCTTGTAGGTATGTATGTATAGGAAAAACATAGTATATATAGCACTAAGTACAGTCCCTAGTTTCAGGCATCTACTGGGGAACTCTAGGAGTATATCCCCTGCAGATAAGTGAGGATAGCTGTGTCTTTATTCTTATGGGCTTTGGATTCAGATATTGATTTAGCTGTATATTATATTTTCTGACTCCTTAATCTTAATCAAATTGTTTAATCTATTGAAAGCTATTGTTTTTAATCTGACAGAGGGGTTTACGTAGAATCTCCCTTATGGGATTACTATGAAGATGCTGTGAGATACTTGTAAGGTGTTCAACACTCAAAATTGTTACCAATGATTATTTGGTGCTATTCTTCTAATTTTGATGAGCAGAAAACAGAGTCCTAGAGAGATTCTATTACTTGTAATTTGTCAGTTTGTAACTTGGAGATCTTGATGCATGTTTTACAGTTGAGAAATTATACAATCAAGGGTAATCTTACTTTGTCTTGTTTCCAAGGATTGCTCTTTCTTCTAGGTCTGGTGGTAAATTGAGGACAGATATGTTGGTAGAATATTCATAAATCTCTTTTGTGGGCATTTTGGTTTATATTGTTACAGTAGTTTTCTGATAAATTTGGACTTCATGGAGTCAGAATTCATAATACTTTAGAGCTATATTGAATTTGGCCCAGTAAGGGCCCAGGATTTTTTTTTTTTATTTCCATATGAGTGTCAGTTTGCTTCTTTCTTTGTTCTCTTTTCTCTCCCAAATGTACTTCTATTTCTAGGTATTAGAAAGGGAAATTATGTCACACAATTGCCATTTCTTTGTAAGGCCTAGAAGTCTTGGTCCTGTGTTCCCCTGTCCTTTATGGGCTAAAGGAGAGGAGCCTTTTCTGTGCTTTGTGCTGTGCCAGATATTATTATGTTACAGTGTGAGAAGGTCACAGCCCCTCTATATGTGTCCCCTTATTCCCCTCCCCCGTCTATGTTATACCTTTCTTGCTATAACAGTGCATTCTATTTATTTGGGTGTGGGTCTGTGTGTGAGGGCAGTTTTTGTTATTTCATCTCTGTTTAACCTGCAGTTAACTTTCACTAAATGCTGAATTAGAAGAACTGTGTAATGCTTGTCACAAAATAAGTTCTCTTTTATTAGTAGATCTGAGCAAACGAAAGAATACCAAATGTAACTTTTCAGCAATATTAGCTGTAAAAATATTTCCTCTTGGTATATAGCACAAGACAGTTTCATAGTAGAAATACGAAACTTTTATTCTTAGTGTAATGTGCTGGGAAATGAAAGGTGAGATGACAAACCAGCTCTTTGTGACCCAAGAGCCAGCCCATTGGCTCATTGGAACTTAAAAAAAAATTTTTTTAATGTTTCTTTATAGATGGAGTCTTGCTTCGTCACCCAGGCTGGAGTGTAGTGGTGCAATCATAGTTCACTGAACTGCTGGGCTCAAATGATTCTCCCATTTCAGCCTCCCAAGTAGCTAGGACTATGTGCACATACTACCATGCCCAGCTAATTAAAAAAATTTTTTTGTAGAGATGAGTCTCGCTTTGTTGCCCAAGCTGGTTTCAAACTCCTGGCTTCAAGTGATTCTCTCACCTCGGCCTTCCAGGGTGCTGGGATTGTAGGCATAAGCCACTACTCCTAGCCTCATGGGAAGTTTTTAGCTGTAGGACAAAATCTACCCATCCTGGTTTGTCTGTTTAAAGGCATTTGAAAATAAAAATATATATACTTAGGAAAATAACCTGATAACCAGTGTTCCTGTGATTCCCACTCTCCAAAAATTTCTGGACAGATGGTCAGTGTAAGTCTGGATTCCATTCCATTGAATTTCATGATGTAATGCTGAGATGTAGGTCCTGTATTTCACTGAGTTCCCTTTCATTAGTCCCTTGGGCCATTTTAGCTCCTGCAGTATGGATCTGGTTCTGAAGCAGCTAGCTTTGGCAAGAGTTGGTTCTTGGTCCTTGCTTTGTTTTGAAACGACACATTGGAAGACAGAAATTTGGGGTGGAGATTGGGCACTGTGGCTCACGCCTGTAATCCAACATTTGGGAGGCCGAGGTGGGCGGATCACAAGGTCAGGAGATCGAGACCTTCCTGGCCAACTTGGTGAAATGCCGTTTCTACTAAAAATACAAATTAGCTGCGTGTGGTGACACACACCTGTAGTTCTAGCTACTCAGGAGGCCGAGGAAGGAGAATCGTTTGAACCCGGGAGGTGGAGGTTGCAGTGAGCCAAGATCACGCCACTGCACTCCAGCCTGGTGATAGAGTAAGACTCCATCTCAAAAAAGGAAATTTGGGGTGGAGCTATTTTAGAACCAGAATTCTAGGCAAGGCAAGGAAAGTTCGGGAGGAATTGAGTTGCTAGGATATATATGGAGATAATTTTTAGGGTTAATATGGTGTGGGAAGGTGGTGGACAGAAAGGAAGGCCTTCCTGAGACCTCTCTGCAAAATCCCATATTTGTGAATAAAAGCATCTTTTTTTAGGATAAGGGCAGATGAGCACAGCTGAGATAGATTGGACTGAGGTTCTGGGAGTGTTGACTCAAAAAAAATATTTTTTAAGTGAATTGAATGCCAGGCACTCGACTAGGTCCTAAGACTTTCCCATTTAATTAAATTGGGCGTGATACTTGTTCTCATGAAATCTACTTTTCCTTTTTCTTGGGGCAAGGGAGATTACAGATATTTAATGTAGGCTAGTTAGTGCCATGATGAAAGCATATATGAAATGCCCCGGGAGTGTTCATAGGAAGGCCGTATAACCCAGATTGGTCAAGAAGAGCTTCCCAGGACATATGATGCCCATGTGGAGCCCTGAAGAATAAGCATTCACTGGCTTGCTGTCCAGAAGATGGGCAGAAGAAATGTCATGTTCAAAGGCTTAGAGGCAACAAAGCTTGATGTTAAGGGATGTTTGAATGCAGCTTTCTATAGATCAGTGACTGTGGAGGAAGAATGTTTAAAGATGAAGCTGGAAGGTTAGAAGTGCCCTGATTGTGAAGGGTTTCCAAACCATGTTAAGGAGTGTATGTTTTATGCTAAGGTTAGTGGGGGAGAACTGAAGTGTCTGTTTTTATTTATATAAGTAAAAAGGAGATAGAATAGATAACATTATGATGAAAAGCAACAATTTTCCCAGCCTCCATAACCCCTAGTTCAATTCTCCATAGTTGTCCTTTGTAACCATTCTTCATTTTAGATTTCTGATAGTTACCTCCAACATAATATGTAGTGGTTCCTCCGTATCTGTGGGGGATTGGTTTCAGGATCCCCCCAGGATGCCAAAATATATGGAGCCTGTCTCTTATATAAAATGGTGTAATATTTGCATAAAAACCTATGCATGTCCTCCTGTACACATTTAATCCCTGAACAGTGTGGAGGTAAGGGGTACCCAGCCCCTTTGCAGTTGAAAATTTGTGTATTAATTTGGACTCACCCAAACATATAATAATGTCAGAGGATCCTTGGGGGTATTGCTTCACCAGCCAGAAATCACTG